GTGTGCTGTCAGCGTGGAACACCGTGGGTGGATTATTTACCGCTGTTGCCGATCGACATTTGATGCCTGAGGAAAGTAAATTTGTCTTAAATACTGCTTTGCTTACAAGTGATTGAATTTTAATTGGTTGAGAGAAATACCTGAAAGCTAAGCTTATTTCAATTGACTCAACTGAGTCTATTTGGGTGATTAATGACCCTGTTAAATGTAGAGTTACTTACTTAACTTTGTTTTATGTTTTGAATATGTCTGCAGCCGTACCGTAGCCGTAGCACAAAAAGTGGGTACGATGTGTGTGTATGAGACGTTGGTAGTGGGCTGGTTTATTCCTCGTTGAGATATAACGGTGATTACTGGACATAGAGATAAGTGCTCGTAAAAATAAAATAAAATGTACATAGTAGTACATTTTTTGCGTAAAAAACCAATAAAAAGGTTATGATTCTTTGATACATTTTATTTTGTGATAATAATTAAAGTTTATTTTGAATTGATCTATATGAAGTAAAATTATGTATTGAAGAAGTTGCCAGTGGTATTTCCAAGCGTCCATATTCTTAGCCACTTGTTATTTCTATTTGGCCGCATTGGTGTGTTGTTGTAGTTGTGAGTCATTCAGGAGTGATGAACATCTCACAGTGTGGTAGAAGGCCTTTGTATTGTAGAGACTACTGTTGATCAACTTGAATCGACCTGGTAGCGTCATTACAAGAAGTGATGAAGATGTGGGTAACTGTTTGTTGCTAGCCATTGCGGCATTGTGATCACTGTGTGTAATCATGTAGACAACAAAAGTGATTTTTCTGTATCTTGACACGCTATGTATAAAGTTTTTTTCGAGAAAACTTGGCAGGAAGAGTGTCCAAAAGAGTTACTACTCCTTAATTATTACCATAAAAAGTAAGTTTTTTAAGTACCTTTAGCCGACGAGCGCGGATGCTTAGGTATATATATATATATATATATATATATATATATATATATATATATATATATATATATATATGGACGTAAAGAGGCGTTTATCACGAGTATTAGTAATGCCGCAATGCAAATTGTGAGCTTAAATTCAATGCAACTTTTGCATTTTAATCCAAAAACCAACCTCGGATATAAACGAAACGTATAAAAATTTGCACGAAATAAACGCTTAGGTGGAAAATGATTTGATTTTTTAATTTTAATGTTAAAATAGATAAGTAAAGAGCGTCTGGAACTAGTCTCTGCTAATGATCCCTCATCAAGTATACTCCTAAATCAGTTATGCCTGATGAGAATGTTATTGGATACGTTATGTCAGTTTTTACATTTATATTATAAAGTTTGAAATGTTAAGTGATGTTACGGAGAAATGTTTAACTTTAACATGCTACGAATGTAGGGAATGGGTGGCCTTTTTTAACCTGTAGGCTCTGAGAGCTCGCGACATGTTATACTCCCGTTCCCTCGGGACCTTAATGGCGGGAAAATTTGCAAGTTAGCAAATTTTGTGCTAAATTGCAAATTTTGCTATATTTTCACTTTGAGACAATATTTATGGATAAAACTTACAGGAATTCTTGTTGAATATATAAACTATCGAATAAAATTATTTTTGGTTGTAATAAAATTCATAAATCACCCTTTATAGCATAGTAGTAGTATATACTTCACTTTTAGTGCCAAAATTACTACTAGTTTGAATTCTACACTTTTGTTTTGGAGAAATTTATATGAAAATGTTTGGAAATATGTATATTTTTATGTCTTATTTGTTTCTATTCGTTACTCATACCAAAATATTAAATATTAAAAAATTTAAAAAAATAATAATATTTATCTGTATAACATTTTGAACAATATTTCAAAATGTGTTGTGTAGTGTTGATGAGTGTAGTAGCATTGCTCTGAATATTGTGGGGTCGACAGAATTGGTCTTTGATACCACTATTATTTTTGTGTTCATACATTAGATTTTCATAAATGTATTGAGAGGCCAGAGTTAATATATTATCATCATCATCATCATCATCATTACAGCCCTTCACAAGTCCACTGCTGAACATAAGCCTCCCCCAAGTAATGCCACAAAGCACGGTCCTGAGCCACCTGCATCGATCGACTTCCTGCATGTCTTACCAGGTCGTCACTCTATCTAGTGGAGGTCGCTCTACACCACGCCTACCGGTATGAGGCTGCCACTCGAGAACCTTTCTTTCCCATCGGTTATCGGTTCTTCGAGCTATATGGCCGGCCCATTGCCACTTCAGCTTACTAATCCGTTGGGCTATGTCGGTCACTCTGGTTTTACTGCGGATGTCTTCATTTCTGAGTCTATCATGCAGAGAAACTCCGAGCATAGCCCTCTCCATAGCTCGCTGAGTGACCTTGAGCGTCTTCATACGGCCAGCAGTGAATCACCACGTCTCAGATCCGTAAGTCATCACTGGCAACACGCACTGGTTATACACTTAAGTTTTCAGATATTGAGGAGGATTGATGTGTCGTAATTTCCCGAACGCTGCCCAGCCGAGTTAAATCCGTCGATTGACCTCTCGGTCGAAGTTGGACTTACCTAGTCGGACTAATTGTCCCAGGTAAACGTAGTCATCAACAACTACGAGCAAAGTGCTCCCAATAACTACCGGCATAGGTGTGACATGGACATTAAACATGATCTTTGTTTTGTCCACGTTCATCTTAAAACCTATTCGTTGGGAGACACCATTGAGGCCATTGAGCATAGTGCTAAGGTCCTCCGGAAAAATCACCGGTGGTAAATTATTCCACAAAGAGGTTGTACGCGGAAGAAAACTCCTTTTGAAACTTACAGTGGTGGACCGCCAAGCATCCAGATGGTGTGGATGGTATCGGGACGTTTGCCGTGTAGTGCGTTCACGAAATTTGGCGGCTGGGATTAATCAGAACAATTCCTCAGAGCACTCCCCGTGATAGATGCGATAAAATACGCAAAGAGATGCAACATCTCTTCGCAGCGCCAGTGAGTCGAGCCGATCGGAAAGCACTCGGTCGTCGACGATTCGAGCCGCTCTGCGCTGGATGCGGTCAATCGGAGGGAGCCCCAGCCCAGAGATGGGAACCGTATTCCATGAGCGGCCGAACCTGCGCCTTGTAAAGTTGCAGGCGGTGTGCCGGCATGAAATACTGTCCCGCTCTCGCTTCTGCGACAAGTCTTGCAGAACTTAGCTCCGACCGCATTGACAGTTTCTACGAGCTTGTCATTCATATCGTCCACTGCATTGCAATGTTCTAGGCACTGAAAGCGGTTACGTAACTCGAGCTGAAAGGTTTCGGGATTCTGGATTAGAGCACGAGGAGGACGAAGCGTTGACTTCATTAGTCGAGACCTCTCCAACTTAACTTTTTAGGTTCAGTGTGCCTCTAACCATTCCGTGATCACTGCCAATTTTCACCCTTGCGATCACTGTGACATCACTGAACAGTTGGCATCTGGTCGTCATAATGAAGTCAATCTCATTTTTTGTCGAACCGTCGGGGCTCGACCAGGTCCACTTCCTGTGGGGTCGCTTCTGGAAGAAAGAGTTCATCATAAAGAGTCCCTCTTTCTACATAAATGGGCTGGCCCCTTCGGTTCCGTTGCCCTACTCCAAATTTCTCTAACTTCAGCTCACCGCTTTCTCTTGTGCCTAGTTTTGCGTTGAAGTCTCCCATCAACACCGTGTAGTGGGTTTTGGAGGAATGCATGGCTCTGGAAATATCCTCATACATTTCCTCCACTTCCTCATCGGGATGTGCCGAGGTTGGTGCGTAAACCTGTAGGACCTTCAGCGAATACCTTTTGGTGATTCTGAGTATCCGGTACGCGACCCTCGTCGACACACTCCCAATCTTTACAAGGTTGTTTACGAGAGACTTGTGGACGATAAATCCGACATCTCCTTGGGACAGATGTTCTCCCTCCCGGTGATAGAACAAGTTACCGTACTCAAGGATTGCCTTGTCCTCCCCCTCTCTTCAGACCTCGGATAATCCAATAATATGCCAGCGTAACTTGCCTACCTCTTCTTCCAGCTCCAGTATCTTCTCGTCAGTCCTCAGGGTGCGTGCTGTTATACCCCGTATTTGTTAGCCTTATTGCTGCACTGCCCCTTAATAATGTCGACTTAGCCTTAAGGTTCAGTGAATATAGCAGTGGAGCAGTTCGGCCAAGTCAGTCTGCTTCCATCTTCGAACCTGCTCGGTTGTCTACGGACCTTAGTTAATTTCCAACCAGTTTGTAATATTTAATTCATTTATACTCAATTAAATTTCAGTGTTAAATAAATCTTTTTTTTAAAAACCTATTAGCCCGTCTCCGTATAACATTTTGGTGGCAGCGGTGGGATACGGAAATCATCAGTGCCAAGTGAAGTGGAACCGCTCAGCAGACTCGCTCCGTATCCTAAATCTTATAAAATTAAATATTATCCTGTGTCGTCCCGGCGCGTCCTAGTGAAATAAATATAGTGCAAGTGCTATACCCGTCCCTACGGCCTGGACGTCCATCCATTACGGAGACCCAATTGATTCATGGAAGGGAATCCACATAATTACCAAAGAAGAGCCGCGATTGCATCCTGAACCGCAATCATCAAGGAAATTAGACTGAAAACATCCATTCTCATAAAATAAATATCGTCAGATATTTATTATTATATTATCAATAACTAGAATTCATCGAGTTCCGTTCCAGTGCGCTAGAGAAGACGCGCCTATCATCGGAATGTTCCCGCTTATCGTCGCAGCCGTCGCCCACGCATTCTTAATACTGTGAGTCGTTGGTCATTGTTTTGTCTAGACTGTATAAGCCAAAGTTTCTCAACCTTTTATGTTCCTTTGTTCAGTTGAACTTAAATGTTTTAAAATTTATTAATATTCTATTTTTGTGATTGTTCTATATTATTGTGTGTTCTATTCTGATTATTTTATATTTTTTTGTGTTCTTTTGTATTTGTTTTGCATTATTGTTGCGTTTTCTTTAGATTTATACATATTTTATTATGCCAAAAGTAGTTAAAGGGGAAGAAGCCAGTCTAGCCTTCGAATTCTCAGAACCGGGTGTTAGCGACGCCCCGAAATCCACCCCAGCTACTCCAAGAGTCACTAAGGCCAGCATTGCAACTACTGCAATGACCGAGATGGATTTGAACACCTTATTTAAGTTCATTAAACCATATGACGGTAGTAGGGAGACCGTAAATTCTTTCATAATTAATTGTAACAATGCTTACGAATTAGCCTCAGAGTCTCAGAGACAGATTTTATTTAAATATATCATTAGCCAGCTTCAAGGTAAAGCGGAAATTGCCTGCTCTATAAAAGAGTTTAAAGATTGGGAACAGCTCAAAGACTTTTTAAAGACACAATTCAGTGAACGTAAACACTACGCTCACATTCTCACTGAATTACAGGAGAGCAAGCAAAATCCACATGACAGCGTTAACCAATTCGCACTCCGTATAGAGACCTGCCTCTCACAGCTATTAACGGAAATATCCCTATGCAACACCAAAGCGAAAGAGTTACCAGGTAGGGTTGCGGCCATGGAGGACCTTGCTCTGCATCATTTTCTTATGGGGTTACACCCCCGAATTTCAAATATCGTTAGATGTAGGTCTCCAAAAACGCTTAACGAAGCCATAAATTTAGCCATCTCAGAAGAGCGAATCCAACAGAGCCTTTATAAACGACCACCGCCAGAAACAAGGTATGAACAAAAACCTAAACAAAATTTTATTAAATCTTTTAATTCCAAACCAACCATTCCTCAAAAATACTCACAGTATCCTAATATGAATCAACAGAGCTCGCCTAACGCTTTCTGCCGATATTGTAAGACGGCGGGGCATGACATTATGGCCTGTAAAAAACGGGAATATGCTAATAACCGATTTAGGTACCAAAACAATCCGTCAACCTCCCACTTCCAGCATAGGGCACAACCAAGGGTTAATTTTATAGAGCAGCCCAATCGTGAGGTCGACCAAGAGGAATTTCATACTTTACATAATGATGAGCAGTTTTTAAACGGTCAAGAGTCTCGTCACGGTGTCGTCCGAGACTAAACCCAAAAGCCGGCACCAACCATTCCTTCCTCATATCCAAGGACCACAAGGGTAACCAGCCCCAAACAAGAGTCCATCAATCCAAGGACCACACGGGTAACCAGCCCCAAGCAAGCGTCCATCAATCCAAGGACCACATGGGTAACCAGCCCCAAGCAAGAGTCCAATATCCCAAGGACCACACGGGTAACGAGCCCCAAGCAAGCGTCCATCAATCCAAGGACCACATGGGTAACCAGCCCCAAGCAAGTGTCCAATATCCCAAGGACCACAAGGGTAACCAGCCCCAAGCAAGTGTCCAGCCATCCAAGACCCATAACTCAAAAACTCCTTCTCCAACAAGTAAAATCAAAATCTATGAAATAAATTTAGACACAACTAAAAGGTTGTTACCGCATATCCTGCTAGATTCATCCGTCACGGATATCCCATTGTCTCTGCTTGTTGATTCAGGGTCTGCCATATGTTTGCTAAAACAATCAAGTATCCAGGGGAACCTCAAATTAATAAAGGAACCTATCAAACTTAAGGGCATAGACCCGGGCGATGAACCGACAACCACAGAGGGACATTTTCCGTTAAAATTAAAATTAAATAAAACTATATCCGCGTCACATAAATTCCACGTCATAAAAAATATCAACTTACCATATGACGGTATCATAGGCTCTGATTTCCTAACCGCGTTTGGATGTAAAATTGACTACACAAACGACACCCTCAAAATCGGTAAATTAGAAATAAAATTGCATTTTGTTGATCCATTTTATATTATTCCACCACGCACCGAAACTGTCATTGAATGTTCGGTTTGCGATACTGATCTTAAAGAAGGGCTTATCACGGACCAACACATATCAGAAAATTTACTTATATCCAATTGCATTGTAAAAATAAAAGAAAACAAACGCGTTAATTTAACCATAGCTAATACTTCAGAGTTTCCTGTCAACCTAAATCCAAACTTAAATCTCAAAATTGCACCTTTACACTCTGACGCAGTCCAAGTGAACACAAATCACTCTAACACAATCAATAGAACAAATGACGTAATAAACTCATTAAGAACAGATCATCTGAACCAAGAAGAATCCAACGCCCTCATTGAACTTTGTTCCCAGTATTCCGACATTTTTCATCTGCCCGATGATAAATTAACATATACATCCGCCCTTAGCCATCAAATCAAAACGAACAGCGAGACGCCCATACATACTTAAACGTATAGGTTCCCAGAATGTCACAAAAAGGAAGTCGAGACCCAAATTAATAAGATGCTCGACCAGGGAATTATAGAACCCTCATCCTCACCTTGGAGCTCACCAATTTGGATCGTACCTAAGAAACTCGATTCCCAGGAACAACGTAAATGGCGAATAGTAATAGACTATCGCAAACTTAATGATATTACCATTGGCGAAACCTACCCCATTCCACAAATTTCTGAAATACTAGACCAGCTAGGCAACAGCAAATATTTTTCAACCTTAGACTTAGCTTCCGGGTTTCATCAGTTGTTAATAAAACCTGAAGATGCATCCAAAACGGCATTTTCTGTACCTCAGGGGCATTTCCAATTCAATAGGATGCCGTTTGGATTAAAAAATGCTCCGTCCACCTTCCAGAAGCTCATGAACGCTTGCCTATCAGGACTTCAAGGTTCACGATGCTTCGTTTATTTAGACGACATCGTTATTTATTCATTCGACCTAAGTTCCCATATAGATAACCTCAACGCTGTATTTAAGAGACTCAGAAACTACAATCTCAAATTACAACCCGAAAAATGTGAATTCCTTCGTAAAGAAGTAATTTATCTAGGCCATATAATCGGCGAACACGGTGTTAAACCCAATCCTGAAAAGGTGAGAGCCGTCACCGAATTTCCTGTTCCAAAATCGCCCAAAGACATCAAATCCTTCCTCGGCCTAGTATCCTACTACAGACGTTTTATTCCCGACTTTTCTAAGTATGCCAAATCCCTTACTTCCCTTTTAAAAAAGGATGTCCCTTTTGAATGGAAAAACGAACAACAGCTTTCTTTTGAAACCTTAAAAGGTAAACTCGTCACAGCCCCAGTCCTTGCATATCCCGACTTCACGAAACCATTCCTTTTGACATGCGATGCGTCAAACTATGCTATCTCCGCTATTCTCTCCCAAGGTCCAGTAGGATAAGATCAACCAATTGCTTTTGCCTCGTGCACACTTAATAAAGCAGAGACTAATTACAGTGTGACCGAAAAAGAGTGCCTTGCGATAGTGTTTGGCACCAAAACATTTCGTCCTTATCTATATGGCAATCGGTTCACAATTATGACGGACCATAAACCACTCCAGTGGCTTTTTAATTGTAAAGACCCTGGCTCCCGCCTTGTCCGATGGAGACTTAAATTAGAAGAATTTGAGTATGACATACTCTATAAAAAGGGCAAAACCAACACCAACGCTGACGCGTTATCGCGGTTTCCTGTGAACCCGGTCCAACCTACAGACCCACCAACTTCCAATCCTCCTATAGTGAATCCAAGTCGAAATCTAGATGAAGATCTTATAGACTTGCTAATTTCTCCACCTTCCTTTAATCCAGACGAAGCGATCTCTCCTCCACTCGATTTAGCTGAAAATGCTTCACCATTACCCTACGTTGATTTGCCTTCCAACATTCCAGACACCCTAAGGGAGGAAATCGAAAATGAATCTATCAACTTACCTCAACCAGAACCTGAACAGATAACATCACCTGAAATCCAAACCGATAATGTCCCATTTCCATCCACGAGCTCCTCTCCAGACGTACCTGTTGATGATTACTCTACTTTCCTTAAATCTATGTCGTGCAAAGATAGGAACTTTAACACGGAAGTGGAAGAGCACAACGAAACTCTTATGAAGTGTCCCGCGAAGGTAATCCTGGTCCCAACATCCATCGATTTGAATGAATCTAACCCATACATTCAGGAAATATTAACCGACCCTGAAATCATTGCCGAAATACATGAGTCCGAGAAAGAACTCTTCTCCTTTAAAAAGATAGAAACAAATAATAAATGCTATTATTTGTTGTTCATTAAAGTACATCATTTCGACGAGGCCTCCTATCCAGAAATCTTTCAAACATTAAAAACAATCAGGAATGAATTAATAAATTCCGAGGGAATTAAAGAACTCGGTATATCGGATCTGAAAAACCCATTCGAAAAACATTCCTTCATTAAAATATATAATATTCTATGCTATCTCTTTCATGATACTCAAATTAAAATTAATATAAATCATAACAATATCATATATCCAGCTCCGGCAGAAATTAAGAAAATCCTTCTCGATAATCATAATATCCCGATAGCCGGTCATTTAGGTTCTGTAAGAATGTACAATAGAATAAAACAATCGTATTACTGGAAAGGTATGCGAAGCGATATAGAGTCATATGTAAAACAATGTAAATCATGCCAGGAAAATAAAGCACTTAGGAAAACTAACCGTGCTCCAATGCAGATTACCAGTACATCCACAGAACCACGCCAAAGAATATCTTTGGACATCGTCGGTCCACTTCCCGAAGCTGGACCAGCAAAATTACGTTTTATTCTCACGATACAAGACGATTCAATTCTCCTGTGCATATCCCATCCGAAGTACCACTGCTGAAGAAACAAGTGAATGCTTACTGCATTATATATCAATCTTCGGTATTCCTAAGATGATTCTTACCGACCAAGGGACTAATTTTACTTCAGACCTATTTAGGAAAACCTGCGAATTTCTTAAAATAAAAAACTTATGGTCTTCACCATATCACCCTCAAACCCAAGGCGCCTTAGAGCGAAGTCATTCAACCCTAAAAGAATATTTGAAATCTTACATTAACGAAGAACAGTCAAATTGGCCTCGGTATGTATACACCGCGATGCTCGCTTATAACACATCCGTTCATTCCACTACACATTACACACCTCACGAGCTTATGTTCGGGAGTAAACCATTTATTCCTAATTCCATTTATAATGAATCTCCAGGGGCTACATACCCTGATTATGTCCGCATGTTGCAAAACCGTTTGAAATATTCCAGAGAAAAGGCTTTAGATTTTATAAGGAAGTCAAAAGAATCCTCAAAATCATACTATGACATCCATACTCGACCAGTTAAATATAAAGTCGGTGAGTATGTCCACATAAAGAACCATTTGAGATTGCGGAAAGCACTCTCTCCTCTCTGGAAAGGACCCTATAAAATAGTTAAGGTAAACAACAACAATACACTGACCTTGCTAATCAATCGACGCCATATCACGCATCACTTCGATCAGGTGAAACCTGCATCGGAAGTCGGAAGTAACCTGTAATTTAAAATAAAATTATAAAATGACTAGTGTCTTAAAAGTTAGGAAAATATATACACTTACCTATAAGCGTAGTCTCGCCATCTGAAAATTGTTAATAAATAGTTAGTAAAGTTATCAAATATACAAAATATAATTATTAAAAATGTTAGATTAATCAATACCTACCTTTGTTAGTATTAATTACAGTGATTATTTACAGAACTCCAACTCGATGTCAATCGCATCAAGATTATATTCAACCGATAACTTCGAGTGCAGGAATCTACTTTGATTACTTAGGTACATTAAAAATCAATAACGCCCAACTAAAAGCGTTAATTCCTATAGATATCTCGCACTTTGGCCCCCACATTATAAATGTAGGAAACACTCTAGAAACAATTAAATTTTTATGTGATCAAACTCGAATATTAGAAATTATTACCGAATGTCACAATATGCTTCAACCATTAGCTGTACGTAACCGGGACTTGAACAAGGATTTTGAATCCATCTCACACTTGTTAGATAACAGAACCAAGCGTAGCGCCTGGTTTGGAGGTATTGGTACAATATTAAAACATATATTCGGTACCCTAGATGAAGATGATGCTTTAAAGTATGATGAAGCAATAACTTCCGTACAAAATGATGGAAAACAATTGGCTTCTCTGATGAAAGAAAACATTTTAGTGACTACCTCTGTAATAAAATATTATAATGATACATTGAACAAAATAAAAAGTAACGAAGCAAAATTAACAACAGCTATCGAGAATCTCTCTATTATGATTAAAAATATTTCCGAAATAACCAATGGTCTACAAATATCTATTAGTATTAATGAAATTTTTGATAGCTTAGAAACCTCGATTCTGACACTATCCTTTCAATTAGAAGATATTATAAACGCTATTTTATTTAGCAGTAAGGATGTTTTACACCCAGCCGTTATAACGCCAAATCAGTTATACCAAGAGCTTGCCGATAATTATAGATATCTACCTAGTAATTTAGTATTGCCTGTTTCTCTAGATATTAAGAATATACATTTAATTTTAAGACTTTGTAAGATAACCTGTTATTATATAAATAATAAAATCATATTTCTGTTGCATGTGCCATTGGTTAATGTAGAAAATTATATGTTGTTTCATAATATAGCTCTGCCTACGCCATATAATCCAAAGGAACCAAATTCATTTAGTCTAATTGTACCTAATAATAAATACATTGCAATGACCAAAGACAAAACACATTACGGCAATATTGACGATTTAGGAAAGTGTAAAATTGTGCAACCAGGAACATTCATCTGTGATGTAAACAATGTGTACTCGGTGGACGCTAAACCATCCTGTGAAAGTGAACTTATATCTAAAGTGATCAGTGAAATCCCGTTACAGTGTGAAACTAAATTTATTTTCGGGAAATTAGATATCTGGAAACCATTAATAAACAATAAGTGGATTTATGTTCAATCCGATCCAAATAAAATTTCTATAGATTGTATGAATTCTCAACTATTTGAAGCAAATATACTGGGCACAGGCATAATTACGATTCCCGATGGTTGTATCGGATTTTGTAAAAGCACTACATTGTTACCTAAATATAATGTTCTAAATGTTACCTCGCCCATAAGTTATATGCCTAATTATAGCCTTATCAATGACACCTGTTGTAATATTAATAAGTTCAATCATGTTGTAGAAAATGTGTCTCCTATAAAGTTACAAAATATAGACTTAGACGAATTTAATTCAAAAAATAAATTAAATATTGATTCTTTATTAAGTAATCTAAAAATAATAGAAAGTAAACCTCACATTATTCAATATGGGACACATTACTCTACCATTATTATTATAATTTCTATTTTAATCCTGTTGTATTTAGGATATTTGGGTTTTAAGCTTTTCCGTCGATTCCGTAACACTCGCCTTATAAATAAAAATAGTAAAATCACTCCTAAAGTGGAATTCATAAAAATTACACCTCGGCCTCATTTAAAATTTATACAACCTGAAATTGAACAAAATAGTAATTCTGAATCCGATAATATTGCACCGCTTAGAACCCAAATGTCATTATTATTAAGTAGTATCTAGAGATTTTATGTTATCATCCCTAAAATCTCTTCTTAAGGGGGGGAGATGTTATACCCCGTATTTGTTAGCCTTATTGCTGCACTGCCCCTTAATAATGTCGACTTAGCCTTAAGGTTCAGTGAATATAGCAGTGGAGCAGTTCGGCCAAGTCAGTCTGCTTCCATCTTCGAACCTGCTCGGTTGTCTACGGACCTTAGTTAATTTCCAACCAGTTTGTAATATTTAATTCATTTATACTCAATTAAATTTCAGTGTTAAATAAATCTTTTTTTTAAAAACCTATTAGCCCGTCTCCGTATAACAGTGCGTTATATGTTGCCAGGACGAGTCGTCGTAGGTGGCAACCGAACCTCCACCGGAGATTCTTAGCACCCCCTGCCCCGCCGTTACCATGGTCGCCACCGTAGCCAGTTGTTACCAGGAAAATGCTGCTGCCCATCTCCTGCCTGTTTCCCTCTGTCGCCTCTTACGACACACGGGAAGATATGGGGTAGTGGATAATCTTAAACGCCACTACACGGCACGGTTAATATATTAATTTCCTTAAGTTTTCGTCTGAGCGACTCTTTCGGTTTTAAATGATATATTGCTCTAATGGCCCTCGTCTGTAAAACAAATTTAATTTCAGTGTTAGTCGCGTGACCCCATAGCGAAATACCGTTCGACGTTTTGCTATGGTAATAGCTAAAGTAAACTACTCTAGTTGTTTCAACACTAGTAAAAGTTCTCATCTTTTTTACAGTATATGCTGCAGAACTAAATCTGCTAGCTAATTCTAACATATGGGGGAGCCATTGAAGCTTTGCGTCTTGTGTAATTTCAATAAATATGATGGTATCAACAAGAATCAGCTCGACCCCATCTAAAATGACATTAATATTTATATGTTTGACATTAGGAGTTACGAATTTCATACATTTCGTTTTAGTTCCATTTAAATACAAATTATTAAAATTAAACAAATTGACTAACTAAGCTATAGCATTATTTACTATGTCGTAATTTAATAACCGTCGTTTTAATTTGAAAATTAATGAAGTATCATCAGCAAATAATACCATAGCATAGTTATTCCCCACTATGTAAGGAAAGTCATTAATATATACAAGATACAGAAAGGGGCCGAGAATTGAGCCCTGAGGCACGCCCATTTGTACAATCGACCCGAAAGAACGCATACAGTTCTCTGACAACTTTTTGCGTTCTGTTACTTAAGTATGAAATTATTATTTTAATAACATCCACACTTCTTACACGCACTACGGCGTAAGAAGTGATTTCGAAGTTTCCTGATGAATGTTTCATAGTGAACACAATCGAAGGCTTTGGATAGGTCACAGAATACACCCAAAGCATCTTATGAGTTCTTTTATGCATTGAAAATATATTTAATTAGCTCAACACAAGCATCAGTTGTCAAGCGACTTCTTGTGAAACCGAATTAATTTTATGAAGTAAATTATTTATATTTTATAAAAATTACAATTGATCAAAAATAGTTTTTTCAAAAATTTTAATATGTGATAGCAGAAAAAAAGTAGTTTTAAATTTAGCGGGTTTCAATGTACTACCAGATTTAAATAAATGTGTTATTTTACTATGCTTCATTTAATCAGGATACACACAAGATTCGACACCAATATTAAAAATAATAGATAGTTGAGGTGCGATTGTATCTATTATTGACGCAATATATTTACCAGAAATCCCCTTTAGGTCTGCGGTTTTTTTAATATCAATATTTTTATAGTATTTTACTATTGTAAATTGTCTCTTGATGATACTTTAGGAAATGTAAAATTCTTTGTACACGCATTTACATTTGGTTTAAGTAATGATTCGGCGACGATAGGAGAAGAATTCAGTGACTTAGTAGTTAAGTTTGGAATATCGGTAAAATATTTCTCAAAAACCATTGCAACTTCCTGATCTGATTTAGTTAATTTATTGTTAAATCTTAACTAATAGTTTGAATCGCGAGATTTGACCTTACCAGTTTCACAATTAATTATACTTCATGTCATATTAATTTTATTAGAAGCCGTCTTTATTTTGTTGCTCAAATACAATGATCTGGCTATAGAGCACACTCTTTTAAATATTTTTTAATATTTTTTACATATTCCCTAAATTCGATTTTAGGATTATATGACCTTTAATTGTAGAGTTCATATAAACTTTGTCTACTTTTATGGTCTCCTACTGTCGGCCAC